CCGGCTGTTGCCAGCGGGTTTGGTTAGCCTGTCCCCTTGTGCAGGCCTGTGATTCCTGCTGCCACTGTTAATGGGCATCGGTTCCCGCTGGGGGCTCTGCCAGGCCCCCAGCCGTTTGTATCCTGAGCCTGGTAATTAGAGCTGGAAGAATCCCAGGGGCTGGGGGGCAGGCTCTGTCTGGATAATCTCGGGAAAGTTCAGCTGCTCCTCTGAACTCTGCCTCTTTGGGGTTGGCAGCAGGGAGCCAGCAGGGCCAGCCGGGTGGCGTCTGCTTCACCTGCCAATGTGCTCTCGGGACAGGGCCCGGGGCTGCTGCCTCCCCCTCTGCTATCACTGAAAGCGTGCATTGACAGACTGAACGTACACGATGGCAGAGGACAGGAGTGCTGAACTGGAGGGCAGAAGACCCAGATTCAAGATCTCCCACCACCAAGCTCTGCAGCCTTGGGCAGTTCCCTAACTTCTCTGAGTCTCAGTCTCCTTCTGACCCTCAGGACCCTGCCCACCTCACAAGGTTGTAACACCAAAGGGCTCCTGGGCAAGCACTCTGCACTTGACAAAGGGCCCCACAGACAGGAGGGGCCGTTACTGGATAGGCAGGATCCATCTCCTAAGGCTGCCCTAACTTGCTGAGGGCTGAGAGATGAGTCGGGGTGGAGTGGGGGGCAGGAGGGCGTGTGTCCCACCGCCTCCGCTTGCCCTGAGCATGGTGTCTCCCTGTGCTCTGCCACGGCCCATCCTGGCGGCAGAAAAGGCAAAGGCTTTGCAGGCGTGAACCTGGCAGGCCTCCCCAGCGTTGGCAAGGCCCAGGGCAAGAGTACACACGGAGGCCATTTTCCATATGTCTCATATTTAAAAGTCATAAATCAAGCTAACAAGCCATTAAATGAAATATGCTCTGTCCTCCTACCTTGTTAAATACATCTTTGTAATAACCTGGAAGGCCAGGAGTGAATTCAGAATTCTGGGACTCCTTGGCGCCTGTGCCGGGCTCTGGCTACGTGGGGAAAGCCCACCCAAGCTCTGGTCTGCCTAGCTTCCTTTCCCATGCCCAGCCCACTCATCCTCACCCCGGCCTCGAACACAGGTGTGGACGCCCAGCCTTCAGGTCCAAGCTCTGTCCACACCGTCCACGAAGAGTCGGTCCTCAGGCCCTGGGGTGCACGCGTCTGTGACGTGGGCTGGGAGGAGGCTGGGAGAGGCTTAGGGCTGTTTGGGCAGGACCCCTGGGTGGGCTAGAAGGAGGGGTATGGGCACCAGATGGGCACGTCCCCTTGGCCTGCAGACTCCCCAGTCCATGGGTGGGGGGACACTGCCCCTGCAGTGTGGAGGAGGCTCCAGAGCAGGGGCCCTCCTGCCTGGTCTAAGGGTGGTTCACGCTGGGTCATGGCTTCTAGTCGTGGCTCTGCCTCCTACTTGATGGGTGACTTAGGTACGTCCCAGACCCTCTCTGACCTTCGGCCAGATCCTGTCCCCCTCTGTGTTCAGGCTTCCTGTGTAGCCAGTGAGGGGTGTTTGAGCGACAGTCAAGGGCCCCCCTCTCTCTGATGTCCTCAGACGTGCTGCCGCTGGCTGGTCCACTGCCAACCCAGCTGCAGAGAAAGAGGCCGAGAGTGCAGACCTCTGCCTCATTTATTCAGGTCCACTTCTCAGAAGCAGAGAGGTCATCTGGGCTGTTTGCGGGGATGCCCCCCGGAACCCCGAACGTCGCCTGCTACAGAGACTCAGACAGTGCAAACTCACCAGGCACCATCCCTGTCAGTGTCGGCGCTGAGTAGCTGCCCTGTCCGGCGGGGGGGACATGCGGAGGGTACCCGGGGAGGGTCGTGCTCGCCAAGTCGCGGCCTGAGGAATCAAAGCAACAAATCACAGGGTGAGCATCTCCACGGCCAGCTGCTCATGTCCACAGCTCCCTGGACATCTGCACATTTGTCACGTCTGGATGCTTAACACCAATGTGCCCCCAGTCCACGTGCATGTGCATGCACACGCGCGCGCGCGCACACACACACACACGCTTACCCACCCCTCCAGCCGCCCAGGCTCCACTCAGCAAGAAGCAGGGATGGCTCTGCCACATCCCTGGGAAACTGGAGCTCTGACCAGCTCCCCTTGCCCTCTACTCCCCAAGCAGGGCTTGGACTTCTCCATCCCACACCTTTTCTTCTGCTGTGCCCTCTGCACACGGCCCAACACCACCCGCCTTCAAAGCTCAACTGCCTCCCTCCTCCTCTTCCTCGACAGTGGGCGGGGCTCTGCCTGCCTCAGACCCATATCTGGTCCTCACTGAACTTTTCCTCTTTGGGCCTAGAGCTTGTCATTCATTCAGTGATGGTGCAGGAAGCACCTCCTGACACCAGACACTGCTGTTCTGGACTGTGGGACATGGAGGTTACGGCCTCAGCCCTTGGGGGCAGACATCCAGTGGGCACATGTCCACCTCGTTGCAGGCTGTCAGCTCCTGAGGGCAGGGGCGACACCTTGTTCAGCACCCAGAACACCTGCCTCCACCACAGGGCTTAGCACCTACAGTAGGTCTTCATGAATAAATGTGTGAATGAATGCAGCAGCCAAGCGGTCTGGGTTCCAGGCCGTGTGGAAGAAAACCCCAAAGTGGTAGAACTCTGTAAGGGAAGTGCCACTGAGGTTTGCCGCTCAGGGAAAGA